TACTTACCTACCTACCTACCTACCTACCTACCTGTCTGCCTACCTACCTACCTACCTACCTACCTACCTACTTACCTACCTACCTACTTACCTAACTACCTACCTACCTACTTACTTACCTATCTACTGACCTACCTACCTACCTACCTGTCTGCCTGCCTGCCTACCTACCTACCTACCTACCTACCTACCTACCTACCTACCTACCTACTTACCTACCTACCTACTTACCTAACTACCTTCCTACCTAACTACCTACCTACCTACCTACCTACCTACCTAACCACCCGCCCACCCACTTATCTGATTTGTTGACAACGTAGTAGGAAGGTATGTAGTTAGGTAGGCAGGCAGGAAGGTAGGTAGGTAGGTAGTTAGGTAGGCAGGTAGGTAGGTAGGTAAGTAGGTAGATAGGAAGGAAGGTAGGTAAAAAGCAAATAATCAATTGATCAATCACATTTTTTAGCAATTTTTTAGCGGCAATTTTTCAAAGGAATTTTCCCATAAACTTTTTTTGAGATTAATGACTCTCCAGAGTGAATGTTGAAAAGAACAGTTGCAAGTTGGACTAAAATAACTAACATCAAATGTAATATTGTAAATATAACATTGATTGAAACAATAAATCTAAATGCTTCGTTTTCAATTTAAACGAAATGATATCAAACTCATCGTAGAACAAAAACTACAAAATGACAAAATAATTCAATAATTATTACAAATTTTATTTTTGGTCTGTTGAACTGTATTGTGAGCGTAATCATAAAATTATGCGAACTGCATCAAGTTGTATAGTCAGAAATTTTATATTGGAGAGTTGCATTAAGTTGTTTATATTTCAATGTTAACTTCACGTACATGAATGAGACGAACCACAACAACTATTCGTCAAATAAGTTTTAAGAAAATGAACACAAAATCAGCAATAACCATTCAATTTTATTTGTTTGTTTTACTTAATAGGGAACAAATGGCAAGTGTAGGCCAGGCTCAACAGCTAACATCCACCTCGTATAATTAAATATTAATCAGACAAAATTGAGCACACGTTTCATCCGGCCCGAACATCTACAGACGTTAACATCACAAATCTTCACAACAATCAGGAACGTCAGCTTTCAATGGACTTCCACATCATTAATTTGGATGATCGGTCAGGAGAACACGACAGTGCAAATATTATTTGCCCTGTCAAACTGAGATGTTGAAAATGCAAGTTCTCCTCTTGTGCAGGCTGTTTGTTGTTAACTGACCTGGTACAAACGCAGAGTGGTTCAATTTGATTGAACAGTTGGTGAATTGTTGGTGAATTGTTGGTGAATTGTTGATGAATTGTTTTCACTAAACTAAGTGATATGTTGAATGAAAAAAGTTTGGGTCGTTAAACTTGGAACATAGTTGAATATCATAAGGAAGATCAAACAAATCTCATTTCACAGTCATCAGTCAGACTTCAAACGCAACCACCAACAAATCGAAAACTGAAACATTCGCTAAATTATTTTTGAAAAGAAATAATCATTCACTAAAAACTGTTGGAAAAAAAACAGAGCAGGGATAAAAGATAATGATGAGGATAATAATGATGGTAACCTTGATCCAGCTGGATGTGCTCAATTACGGCGCACGAGACATTAGCGTATGTTGAGGATAGCGTGGCCGGCCAATAAATGTTTTTTATCGTAGTGGCAGAGCAAAAAGTTGTGTTGCTGCTGTTGTCGCTGCTGTTGTCGCTGCTGTTGTCGCTGCTGTTGATGCTGCTGATGCTGCTGTTGTTGATGAGGTAACTGTCGTTGTAGATATTGTTGTTGGTGTTTTCGTTTGAAGTCATGTTGTACATGTTGTCCTCATTGTTGTTGTAGCAGTAGTTGTTGTGGATGTTGCTGTTGATGTTATTATTAGTATAATTTATGAAAATGAAAACGTTGCTGGTAACAAATAGTCTACGTTATTAACAATGATGATGATGATGATGACGACGACGATGACATTTTCGATAAAGATGATGATGATGATGATGATGATCGTAAAAATACTGCTTCCGGAAGTGGAAGTAAGATGAGATGGCTCGTAGGTTTTAATGATATTAGTATTGATCCACTTAATGTTATTGTTATTGCTGTTTTAAAGTTGTTGTTGTTTTGATGTAGCTGTTTTATATACAGGTTATTGTGGTGGAACTTGTTGCTTGGTCGAAAAGTCTGCCTTTAAAAGTTGTCGTTAAAAGTGATTTGCGGTTGGTGAGACGGTTGGTGAGACGGTTGGTGAGACGGTCGATGAGACGGTCGATGAGACGGTTGCCGTTGTTGATAGTGAATCTGACCGTTGTTGAGATGTTGTTGTGGGATGTCGTTCATGAAGTTGTCGTTGTTTAATGTTTAGTCTCAGCAGGCCGACAACAACGATGCAACGTCACTTTTTGAGATTCGCAATTAATTTTATACTTCTCGCGTGTTTTTCCGTATTTGTCTTTTTATTTAAAAAAAATCTGTGAAATGAAAATTTAATTTGTGAAATTGATGTTATATTATGTAATTGAATATTTTATGAAAAATGAAAAGCAAATTATTTTGAGGAATCATTTATCATTTGTAAATATTGTATCAATTAATTGAAAAAGTTGTTGTCAAAGATATCTATCTTCGAAAGTTTCTATAATAAAAGTTCTCATCTCATTTCATTTTCTTTCAATTCAGCAACTCCGTCCTCAGTTCCCCTTTCTTACAATAAACTCTCCCAACAGTTTGCAGGATAATTTCTATTGAAATTTAAAAATTTAACAATGTTTTCAGTTTTTATTTTTAAAAATAGTATCATTTTGGGTGCACAAAATGAGGTTTTGCTTCTTGAATTGTGTGGGTACATTGAACATTCACGCTAATTATTACTTGTTAAAATAAAATAATTGTAAATTTTGGTTTTCTAAACACATATTATCCACATTCCCAAAGGAGAAGATTCACCTAATAATTGGAATGAGCGGCTATATATAAATAAATAAATATTGATACAAGCATGGATATATATATATCTATGGATACAACATCACTCCACAGTAAACACCTCTAATAGAACGTTAAAAATTTCTGACATATTTTCATTCTACGATTTTTTAGCTAATTACTGCCAACGTTAAATAATTTATTGGGATCATCTGCTCGCTCACGATGTTACGCATGCTACTTTTAGTATTTTTTTCTCTCTCTCTCTCTCTCTCTCTCTCTCTCTCTCTCTTCATTCATACCTTTCGTTAGGTTTATTCTTTTTTGTTACTAATGCTGGCATTGGAGACTTCAGTCTTAATTGGAGACTAAGAATATTTAGATATTTATTTATATATAGGATTAAAAGCACACACACAACACACACACACACACACACACACACATATATATATATATATATATATATATATCATACATTTGATGATTTTTTCTATTAATATGCCCAACAGACAAACAAAGAGCCAAACAAGACAGACAAACACGAACAACAGCATAAGAAATGAAACTTATACTCCACAGGAAGAATTCATTAATTACTTCACATTTTCCCAACCGAAGGACATTTTGTTATAAGCAGCAATTGGAAGAAAGGAAAGATGTTCCTTGCTGCTCTATTGCTTTATCATTACTGTGTTGTACCTGTCATGCGTACGGACAGACGATATGAATGATGATGCAGTGGTGACCAGCTTACGAGTGATGTCTTAATAGATGAAGATGTATTGGTTTTGAAATGATTGCCTTTGTTCATTTTGTTAAAGAATTCTGCGTTTTTGTTTTGAGGTGTTAGATTTGTTGTTTGAATTGTTGATGTTGCTTGGTTTGTTGATCTGGTTTGGTTTGTTGATGTTGTTTGAATTGTTGATGTTGTTTGAATTGTTGATGCTGTTTGAATTGTTGATGTTGTTTGTAATGTTGATGTTGTTTGTAATGTTGATGTTGTTTGAATTGTTGATCTGGTTTGGTTTGTTGATGTTGTTTGAATTGTTGATGTTGTTTGAATTGTTGGTGTTGTTTGAATTGTTGATGTTGTTTGTAATGTTGATGTTGTTTGTAATGTTGATGTTGTTTGAATTGTTGATCTGGTTTGGTTTGTTGATGTTGTTTGAATTGTTGATCTGGTTTGGTTTGTTGATGTTGTTTGAATTGTTGATGTTGTTTGAGTTGATGATGTTGTTGATGATTGTATTGATGTCATTTTTGTTATCAGTTAATAATCGATTCAACAATTCAAAGCCATGGGGTGTGATTTTTGCGACGCTGTTAAAAATTATCTTCAGTTTTTCATGTTGTGTAATTTGGCGGGATGTGTATGATGCATATGTTTGTTTATAAATTATGCAGAAAAACAAGATGAGCATAGCCATTTAAATAATATTTTATTAATAATTTAAACAAAGTTTTTTCAAAAAGCTGCTGATACTGCGTGCTATTTCATGAATAAATCTTAAAAACTCACAATGCGTCTGGTGTGGCCTCTTCAATACAATAATGCGTGGCTGGTTGAATTATTAGATTAGAATCATACGTAGAGTTCGGTAAATCATGGTGAAGGTATATAACATTACACAAAATTGCGCGCTATTATAATATATCGCCCAACATTTGGTAGGTTTTTAAAGTTTTGTAACAGCGATGTTGGGTGAGCTAAGGTTGTGCGATTTAATGTAACGAATTACGTGAATTTGTGTGAGGTTTTTGCTGAATGGTTCTGCGTGGTGTAGCACTGGTGTAAGGTAGATTGATGCTGTTTACATTTCTACCTGCTTTTCGTCTTTTACTTGATGGGCGAGAACATCGAAGAAGGCATTTTCATGTTGCTTGCAACTGTCGTATGACTCTTCTTAATTGGGTCATACGTGCCTATTCGTCATGCGTCTTTTGTTTGTGTGCGTTACGAGTGTGTTGTATGTTTTGTGTCATTTGGTGGTCCTTCTGGCCGTCGAATGCCGTAAGTGGTGTTGTGTAGTCTGGTGTTGTGTGGCGTAGTGTGGCGTGGTGTGGTGTGACGTGGCGTCGATCGCTGTGTTCTGTGCATATTTGATTGGGATTTGTTGCAAAGGGGAGTCATCAAAGTTTTAAACTTTTTTATCCTCAATTTTTAATGAGATTACAATAATTTCATATTTCATAAGTTTTAACAACTCTTTTTCACGTTGTTGTACAATTGAATGAATGGATTCGTAGTTTTTTTTAAGTTGAATGTGAACAGTCAGTAACAACGTAAGCCGCTTGGAAAATATTCCACAGAATTGTTTTGCATCACAAATCATACGCAGTCTGTTTCGTGTTAGCTTTGTATTCACGAGTGATTGTTTATTATAACAGCAAGAACGGAACTTTATTAACTCATGATGATGATAGTTGTGTATAAATAATTTTTTGTTTGATATGAATTGATATTTGAAGTTTATCAATTTTTATCAAAATGTTTTGATGTTCGCTTTTGTGTGTTGATGTTGCGTGTTGATGTTGCGTGTTGATGTTGCGTGTTGATGTCGCGTGTTGATGTTGCGTGTTGGTGTTGCGTGTTGGTATTGCGTGTTGATGTCAAACACATAGACCATGTAGACATGACGATGGCCAGTGCTTTGAAAATCTATAAAACAGTTTTGTTATAATACAAATCTAGCAGGAAGTGGTAGCAAAAATTAAAGCGTGAAATGCATGCGACTGCAGTAGAAAAATTCAAATGTAATGTTTTTTTATTCTGTCGGTTTGTCATCAAGGAATTACTTTGAAATGTGAGATTTTTTTCAAATTTTATTCTGTTCTTTGAAAATAATTCACTGAGTAGTAATGAGACAAAAAACCAAAACAGAAAAAACAGAAAATGCGAAAGAAAAAGAGAGAAAGAGAGAGAGAGAGAGAATAACGTATTGTATGTAGTACAGTAAAACATTATTTAGCGTGGGAGGATTTTTGTTTTTTTTTGTTTTTATTTAACCTCGGCAAAAGATGAATGATGCATCTGTACACTGAACAACAAGCAAATATTAAAAGTTAAAATGTTAATAATTTTTGTGAGGTAACTATGGTAATTATGGGGTATGATTTATTTAGCAGAAACTAATAAAATTTTCATGCGTCAGATGCTTCCAGAACATACACTTTTTATCATTTGTGCAAAAAATGATATTCTTTATGGCAGCGTATGTGAAGCATACATAATTTTTAATGCTAATGCAAACAAACAAATATGAACCAGGCATTTTATTATAACTTTTTCTCACAACCACACATACATAGTCATATACAACTTAGACGGGGGCCTAAGTTTTCAAAATTTTTTAACATTAACCTGAAAGGGTAATTTTGAAAAATTTTGAAAATGTTTAAATGTAGACTGAGGGGTCAAATAATTTTGACGAAAGCCAACATTGGTGGTAATGGGGTACGAATTAAACCGACGACATTTCATGCTTATAAGGTCAATTTTTTGTCAAAAACAGTACTTTTCCGTAAAAACAATGAGTTTTACTGACTTCGATTACAAATACTGCTTATAACGGGGGTCTAGTCTCCGGCCCTCCCCCCTAGATCCGCCACTGATCATACCCACATATAACATACACATACTCAAGCACGTTCATGCCGCATGTGCAAAAGCTGGCTAGAGAAAAAAACGACCTCTATTTTTATTCATAATGGCGTCTACAATGACAGAAAAAAAAATTAATTTTTAGATTTATGCCGGATGCTAAGCATTGATGTTGTGTACAGGAAATACAATACAATGCTTTTTCGGTAGGTAAAAAGAGAGGTAGGTAGTTAGGTAGGTAGGTAGGTAGGTAGATAGGTAGGTAGATAGGTAGGTAGGTAAGTAGGTAGGTAGGTAGGTAGGTAGGTAGGTAGGTAGGTAGGTAGGTAGGTAGGTAGATTGGTAGGTCAACCTTGGGAAATAATAGCATAGCGCCCCCAAACAATGGATGCTGTAAACTATATATTGTTATACATTTTTTTTACCTATTTTGTACGTATTTATCATTGTATACACTTCTTTAAATTCAAGTGTTTTTGAGATTTTGTTTGAACTGTTGAAGCCAAAATTATAGTGTAAAGTAATAAAACGTTGGACATCCTGTTGACAACTTTTCATGATTGCTTGTGGGGTTCTACAGTTGAACTGGTGTTTTTGATCTATTTGATTGGTCAATGGTGACCTGTTTTGCTTTCGTTATTCTTAAATTTCCGCTGTGGCAAATTTACCGCGTGGTTGTTGGTTTATTCTTTTGGACATGTCCTTTTTATAAACGCTTAAAGAACGAGGAAAAAAGAGAGACTGAGAGTGTCTGAGAAAAGGCTGTACTTTTTTAAATAAAAAATTTGAATTTTTGTAGTTGTTGTCGTCTCGGCTTTACAAGAGCAGTAGATAAGTCCATAATTATTGGTAAAATTTTATTTGAAAGTTACACCAACAATCGCGGAACTTACGGCTTTAACGACGACTACAATTCAAAAATAGCATCCACATTCCAAATTGCCACCAACACAACAACACAATGAGAGAAACCAAACTAATATGGAACGTTCTTGAATGGAGGAACAGAGGAAAGGAAACTATTCATTTATAAGGTAGACGATGCAAGTAACAACCCATCAGTATCGTCATCATGCTCAAACTTGTATCATCATTTTCAGAATATTCATCATCATCATTATCATTCTCAACATCACCTCTATCATCATCACCACCATTATCACCATTATTAAAAAAAAGTCATTTGATTCGTCTCAAAACAAATGATGATGATGATGATGACGATGATGATGATGGTGATGATATGAGGGTTGAGATGATAACGATTGATAATGATAGTACGATGGTTCTGATTATGATGATAATTTTGATTATATTAAGGGTGAAATAATGATGAAGGAGGTGATAAAGTTAGTGATGATTATGACAAGGGGTGGAGGGGGTGTTATATTAAGTGGAAAATATCCAGTGTCACGTGATCCCCGTTGCTTCAAACTGGCAGCTGATCTTCCTTATTTATTTCCGCTCATCGCCTGGCACCTGCTGGGTATTTAAATGTGAGCGAACTGGCACCTGTCAAGTCAAGAGTTGAAAAGTATTGCGTAGTTTTTTCTTGAAAAATCGACCTTCCTCTGTTGATCTGCGGTTTTGTGATGAATTTTATTGGCGTTCCTGGAGAGTTTTAATGTAGTAAACAGTTACTTCAATTTATCTATATGGAATATAGAAAACATGATGCTGTGAGGATCGTTTGGAGAAGGAGGATGCGAAATTTTAAACACTACTCCCACCTTTCAATACTCCGTTTTTCTGAATTGATTTTGTGCTGATGGTGTGTTCGGTCAAGCAATTTTTAACTTGGTGCTTCGTTCAATAGTAAGTCTAGCAGGGAGAATGAAATTTATTCGTTCCCAATATTTGTCGTCGTTTGATGCATTACATGCTTCTGAACATCATTTGAATGCGTTTTGTGTGCCGGTACATATTGACTGTTGTACATTTCAGCAGAGCAACTAATGTGTTTGGTTTCTTAAATACTGCAGTAGCACTTTGAGGCGCGCCACCAGCGACTGACGTCTGTTCGTCTGATCGTGTGCGTGAAAGGCACCGTGCAGATGGTACGTATCAGAAATCCACAGCATGTCTGTTTAGCAGAATATTACAAAGCAGTGCGAAATGATTCCTTCAACATACATCACAAAAAAATATAAATAAATCCAGAAAAACTATAAAAATTGTAGAAACAAATCCACAAGAACATAAAAATGAGAATATAAAATATTTTGACGTGGTTATGAATGAGGAATGGCTCAATTGTGTTTCATTATTAATAGAGGCCAGCGGTCTGTTTGGTCTTGATTGGCGGTGTCAGGTTTGTCACGAGGAGCTAAGTTTGATGGAAGGTACAAAAAGAGTTAGTTGGGATTGCTTCATCGATCATTTGCAGATGGCGGGAGTGCTTATGCAGGGAATGTACGAGCAATTCAATCCACATTTTGGTTGGCATGTCATAATTGATGTTATTATAGTATCGATTAAATAAAGAGCTTATTAATATAATTAATGATTCCAACCAAAAGCATCAGTGGAGTTGTGAATTTAGTTACAATTTAACATTCCATAATGAAATTTATCTTGGTTCGAGTTGTAGCAAGTGATGAATTGTAATGAATTGTGATGAATTGTAATAAATTGTAATGAATTGTAATGAATTGTTCATCTTGGATTGCCTCTAAAGAATGCCTGATGAATTAGCGCTGCATATCAAACAGACAATATTAATCGTTTGTCATTGTTTACATAATTTTCTTTTGCCATTCAATTTATCGCAAGCATGATCCATCCAAATTTCATTCATTTATTTACTTCCTAGCACCATCCATCTCT